CCAGTGTCTTTACTGTAATCTATAGCCTTTTTATACTTTGGAAAAATATTTATTCAAAGATGCTTTGTCAGGCATGATATAACTAAAAGGAATATAGACAGCATTATTTTATCTTCACCTGTCACTAATGCACTATAACATCATGCAGAGGAAATTAATAAGGACTTAAAATGAAGGGAGAAGTATCCCAAAGGCCCTGGTATTTATCGTCCAGTACTGGCTTTGCCATCTGCTAGAGAAGTGAGATTCACGTCAGCACCTCTTTAGAGAGGTGTTTTTATCCCAAGGGAAGCTTTGCAGCCCCATGCACAGTTAATGTGGGAATCTCCATAATTCCAGGGCTGCTGTGACAATGGATTATTTCCTGGTGCAATTAATAGTTTCTGAGATGAATACAAGCTTTGCATTCCAGCAGACTGAAGTTTACAGATTGAGCGATTGAACCAAGGATGAAGACAACACACATTTGAAATCTCTGTGTTTCTCAGCTAATTAGCTCAGGATTGGGCTGGGCCAGTCACACTGAGGGTTGAACTGGAGTTCTTCATTTATTCACAGAACCAGTTCTGTATTTCCGGCTGCAATGCAGGCTTCCTCACAGTACCCTGCCAGCGTGTTTACACCCTGACCTGGAGGGACCAGCTAAGGGTGAGAATGTTGATTCACTCTCCATGTCCATCTCATGTTTGGTTAGCTAGTACTGGCCATGCATGCTGGGGATGGTCCCGGGGTTTAAGTATCTAACAGATTACTCTCCCAGCTTCGAGACAAACCCATGTTGTCCGACAGCCCATCTACTCAAAGCCCCTAACATCAATCTTCTGTACACTAGCTATAAAAAGTAAAGGAGCTGGACACATTTGGACTCGAAACCACATCACTTAGCAACTTATCCAGCCAACAGTCTGTTAAGATCCAAAAACATAGAAAGGCCACACCATGTTTTAGAGACAATGCCTCAGCAACTGTAACCCTCATCAAAGCAAGTCTTTTCCATAAGCAAATACACAAATATCTTAATGTTTACTTAGAACAGTCATCTTAAAAGTGGAGCTCCTATGTGCAAATCAGAGAGAAGACATTTGAGGCTGTTTCATTTTTTTCAGAGATTCCAAAGAGGAGGGTGTTTGTCTCAATCTGGGAATTCTTTTGATGACTGTTAAGCAAATTTGGTTACAGCTCCCTCGTCTCTGCTGAGAAAAATAAAATGAAGGGGATATTTTTAAACATTTAAAATGGTAATTAACTATAAATATAAAATATAGCCTTTTATTATTAATTTGCAACAGCAAGTACACGAGTTTAATAAATTTTACAGGGATTTCAAACCTTACTGCCTGGATTACTAGACAGACAAGATACTTTATCAACTACCTGTTTCTCTTGGTCATTTCTGGTCTTAGATCAGGAACAAAGATAGTCCAGAGTAGCTTAGGGCAAGGCCTACCATATAATGAACTCTAACGGATGTTACTCTTATTACAGTCCAAAGCAGCATGCCACATATTTTTCAAGGTGCTTTCCACGTGTACCCACTTCCTATATTGTACCCAATTCCATGACTTGAATATACCAATGGGGGTAAACCAAAAAGGGAAAGCATTATGTCACTGATGGGACTGGCTGTGTCCCTGGCTGTGGCACCAGCTACCTAGAGCCCTGTCTACTGTAAGACAGTCTGTTTGCCTCTATATCCAGGATTTATCTTCAGCCCTACTACCCCACAGTCAGACTTCATTCCATTATCTGAGTCCTGCACATAAAGGATGGAAGAGGCTTAAGCATTGGCTGGGATGGGCATACTTCCCCACTTTCTCTACCTGAGATCCATTCATCCCAAGATCAGGGTCACATATTCACTTCTAGTTGAGCCAACACTATAGCTTGGTCCCTCATTGGTGATCTCTCTCTTGATTTGGCTCTTAGCAGATCTTTAGCTCACTGTCACATGTATGGACTGAGATGGGAAGGAGTGCTTTGTTATGAGACCCTTAATGTATCTTCTTCATGTATCCAAATCTTCTGTAAATACAATCTGCTGGCCTTATCCCAGGGCTTCCATTTCAATAGCAAAGCTGGCTTCCTGGGCAACAGCTTGGCACTCTGAGGGGCTCCTCTTTGTTGTAGCCATCTCCTGTTGTCATCTTGAAACTTTTCATGTTGTTTGGCTTAGTTTGCGGTGGGTTCCATGATGGATTCAGCCCGTTCTGTGTGGAAGGCCTAGAATGGAGCTTGCAAATGCATATTTCCAACTGATACAGATGCAGCCCTACAGGGAGAATATGTCCTCATTTCACAGCTACTAAATGAACTTTTGCAAAGTCCACTTGAAGGAAAGAGGAAAGGGACAAGGCCACTCTTTCCTCTTGATCTGGTCAGATCCAATGAAAATGGAAGAAACACTGGTAGAGCAACAGGAGCTAATGTTGTAATTATTCTTGATCCCCCTTGTTTTGTTTTCTTTTCACCAAACCATTAAGCATGGTATTGCCTGTTCTGCACTTCCCCAACCACCAATGTAAGTATACTTCCTGTCTATACGCCAGGTCCATTACAAGTGTCTGAAGCATCTTGAAACAGTATGTCTAGTGGAAGAGTGTCATAGGAAGTAATCTGAGAGGTGGCAAGAAGGAAAACAAGTTTAGTTTGTGGTGTAAAATATACAGATGCTCTGTAGGGGTCCATGCAGCCACTTGCACAGGGCTCCATGTGCTCTGAGCCGTTTAGCCCTCAGAGCAGACAGAAATGCATTATTTATTAATACCTCATGGTAACACAGGGTAAAAACAAAAACCCACTCTTTTTGTGGAAACCTTAAATGCCCCCAATATGACGACTTGAGAGAAATTACTTCCCTGATGTCTCTCATTTATACTCATAAGTCCTGGCTGAATTACATTTAATTCTGAAGTACATTTAGACCATTGCCCTGGATGTTTCTCGTCAGCAGTTTTGGTAAGATGATGTGTAAGACTTGAGCCAACTTTTTTTGTGGTGTCTGTGAACCTTAGTTCCACTAAATGTGACCACTCCCAAAACTCTCCTCCAAATTAAGAGGAGGCAAAATCCAAATTGTACGTTGTTTCAGTTGGGCTCATGAATTGGGCAATGACTTAGACTCTCCTTAAAATATTTCATAAAACAAGGCTATGAGTTCCCACCATTAGGTGCACAACCATGACTTATTCTTATCAAATAGAGCTAAGACATTCTCATTAATGACTGAAAAGGAAATGTCACCTAAGCAATGGAAACTAATGAAGTCAGCCAAATAATATGATCCATCGCCCTTCTGATTTGGAATTGAAGTCTGTGTTAGTTTAATGCATTCACTTCTTGTGTTTATAGCAAACCTCTCCTAAGAAGAGCCACATCCCATGGTAATAGGCAATAGTTTGTCTGAATTCATGTTCCCCTGCCTAGAACTAAGGAGAGGGTTTTCTCTTTTAATTATATGCAGTTGTTGGTTCCCTCCCGTTTCCCAGCAAACAGTTAAGTTCTTCTTGATGGTTTTTCCCTTCAAATTCACTGGAGGCCCACACGTCTGGAAAATCAGGCTCATGGCTGTCCTTTGGCTTCTGCCCATAAGATTGTGTGATATCAGTTCAAAGAGGAGGCAAGCAGAGGTCTTATTTATTCTATGTGGGTAGGAAATGTCCTCAGCAAAAGTGCCAGAGCCCTGGCTGCCTCGGGTGACAGGCATGGCATATCGCAGATGCCAGGATGTTTTTCCCCTGGGTACTTAACCTTGGCTGGAAACCTGAGATAAAGCTGGGGTCCCTATGAATCCACTTCCTTCATTTTGCATGCTAAAAACAATTTTGGCTAGGAGAGGATGGCTCTGTGTGTGTTTACCTTCTTTAAGACCACAAAGGATTTGTTTTGAAAACTGCAACAAACAGAAAGCAAAGACCAGTAAAGAGAAGCAAATAGGGTAGGGATGAGGGAAGACAGAAGCACACTGTAAAACTTTTAATCAATCTTTGATCATTTTTCCCTTTAAGATGTCAGGGCCACTGTTTTGAGGAAGGTAGAAAATAAAGATTGTTCCAGGTAAGGCTTTGCCCAGTCCCCATGTTCCTGGTATTCTCCTTTTCCTGTTCCATTTACATTTTCACTGTTGTTTCTGTTGCTATGACAACTCATACGTGCATATGTTAATACTATGTGAGATAATGCCATAGATTGTGCTGCAGATGCACTAGTGCCTTGCAAAATCATGTTCTGTGCATTCATATACACTGCCATGTATTTATCTTTTTAGCCATCTTTTCATACATAAACACATATTCCCACCACTAGTATCATTGTCTCCATCACAGGAAGAATATATTTATTTTCTAAGTATGCTACAGGAAAAGAAAAGAAGTTTTCCTTAAAGCCACAATGAACTCTAAGTCTGGATTATTTTTAATTCAGGAGATTAAGGAAAGCAAAAAAGAGTCATCTGGGCTGTTGCTTTTTTTTTTTCCTTGCTTAATCAACAGTGACCCCCAGGGTTTAACTTTTACATTTAATCAGGCATCACTCCATCACTCCGTTGGGCACTTTAGCAGTGCAAGGTGATGACAGGGCTCCATCTCTGTTTATGTCCTGTTTTTGTTGTTTAATCTGCTAAGTTTTATTGCTCTCCGCCAGCAGGCAGCGTTGACGAACACAGGCATGTGTGTCTCCACCCTTCTAGTTGACCTTTGTTTTATACCATTTGTTAGGTTTCACTGTCCTCTGCTGGTCGAACTTTGGCAACTACAACAGATCGTTATTTCATCCTTTGCCTCCTTTGCAGGCCAACATTTCTTGTTGCGTTTGTTGTGTTTTACTGCCATCTTGTGATCATTTTATGGAAACGCTTTCACATTAGTGATGGCGATGTGTTGGAACATTGCTCAAAAGGTATTTCTGTTTCAGTCTCCATATCCATGTACTTGAAATCTGCCATTGACAACTATATAATGTTTGAATCTGATCATACTTACACACCTATGATTGTCTTATGCCAGGAGCCCTGACATGCTGCAGTCGGAAGTTTCCTTTTCCATGGGAGGGAGGCATTCATCTACAGACTCCAACAAGGCCTCCAGCGGAGACATCTCCCCTTATGACAACAACTCCCCAGTGCTGTCTGAGCGCTCCCTGCTGGCTATGCAAGAGGACAGGGCCCGGGGGGGCTCGGAGAAACTTTATAAAGTGCCAGAGCAGTATACACTGGTGGGCCACTTGCCATCGCCAAAGTCGAAGTCAAGAGAAAGTTCTCCTGGACCAAGGCTTGGAAAAGGTAATTGAAGCTTGGCTGTGACAACCCAAAAAAGCATCTCCCCTCTTGTGGCATGTTACATGGGGTGGGTTATTTTGGACTTGCTGTGGGATGGTCTGTATGTCAAATTGCTCTGATTGGTCAATAAATAAAACACTGATTGGCCAGTGGCCAGGCAGGAAGTATAGGCGGGACTAACAGAGAGGAGAATGGAGAGAACAGGAAGGTGGAGGAGACACTGCCAGCCGCTGCCATGACAAGCAGCATGTGAAGATGCCGGTAAGCCACGAGCCACGTGGCAAGGTATAGGTTTATGAAAATGGATTAACTTAAGATGTAAAAACTAGATCGCTAGAAGCCTGAGCCATTAGGCCAAACAGTTTAAACAATGTAAGTCTCTGTGTTTACTTGGTTGGGTCTGAGCGGCTGTGGGACTGACAGGTAACAGATTTGTCCTGACTGTGGGCCAGGCAGGAAAACTCTAGCTACATGGACTATCCTCATCAGGCCCTTTGTTGGATGTTTCTTCAATTCAAAGAACATTTACTGAGTGTCTGCTCAATGTTCAAGAAAGAAGAAAAGAATGGTTGTTGTCATAGAAGGACCTTACAACTTCTGATTCTCGAATATCTGTGAAGTGAGCAAATGCTCAAAGGAACCACTCATTTTCCCAATTGACCTTTTCCTTTTAACATCCAGGGGAGTCTATGTCCCTGCTGGTGGATTTGGATTGCATATCTGATAGTCTGATGCCACTCAATTACTTCTGTCATTTTCATAAAGGAATGGTTCTGAACCTATCACACAACAAGGCAGTGTGCCAGAACTAGACAATGACAAAAACACTAGACTAGGAGTCAGAATAATGTCCTGCCACTTTCAGCTTGCAGGATCTCAAAGGAATCATTGATCTCCACAGAGGCCTATGGACTCCTGATAAGATAACTAAGAATGGTACCAATGTCTCGTGTATTGGATTTCATTAGTGAATCTACATGCAGTTGTTATGGCAACACTTAGCATGGACTAAGCCCTGGCTAATCTGTGCTGTGTAACCTTGTAGGCACTTGTGATCTCTTGTTACTGCATATCTGGTCTGTCTCATAATCTCCTGATACCCTTTAAGGAATAAAGGAAGGTATACTTCCCAGAAACTAACAAACGTTTGGAGACATCCGGAAGACCTCTGATTCCAAGTCATAATGATGATTTCAACACAGGCTTGGAGGGAGGAAAACTTGAGTTGAATACATCTACTATAGCATCTTGCTACATAGATACATATGCCCCGATTGAGGGGAGACGGGAGGAGAAAGAAACAGACACAGGAATAAATCTGCTCATGCCAGGACAGTGTCCCTGAGGCGAGTCCAGAAACCAGCACTATTGTCCCTGCATGCCTGTTCCTGTAGCCAGAGCCCATGTGGCAATCACCAACTGCCCCCTTGTATGAGTTTATTATTGTTATCACCCACAATGAAAGCAACACCCAGATCAGCCCTCTTATGATTTGGGGTGTCAGAAATTGAACTGGTGCACAGGGCTGCCGCCTTCTGCTCTGGAGGACCCAAGGAACAATCTGTTTCCTGCCCTCTTCTAGCTTCTGTAGACCAAATCTCATGCCTGTTTCTTCCATGTCTGAAGCCACCGACATAGCAACATCTTCTCTATTGCATCCCTCTTACAGGGACCCTTTTGATGATATCCAAGCTACCCAGGTCCTCCAGGAGAGTCGCTTAACCTCAAGAACCAGGGAGATATGCAAAGTTTATTTTTAGAGGTTCTGGAGGTTAGGATACAGATTTCAATAGTGAACATCAATTCTGTTTACCAGAAACATGATATGGAAAGAACATTTTTGTCCATCTCCAACAGAACAAACTTCTTGGAAGGCAATTCCAAATAGTATTGTTTTGCATGTAGTACAACCTTTAATATGATATTTTGTGCCAAAAATGTAATGCTATTATTTATTGGTTTCATTCTTAATTTTTTCTGTTGTGGACCCTTTTATCCTCTTTCCTAGATATGTCAGAGGAGCCTTTCAATATCTGGGGAACTTGGCATTCAACATTAAAAAGTGGATCCAAAGACCCAGGAATGACAGGTGAAGTGCGATTTTTAAACTTCTTGCATTTACTTTAAAAATGAACTTTCCCCAGTTCTTACTTGCTATTCTCGTGGTTAACTGCTTGCCAACCATTATTCAGAAAATACTGAAATGAGAGGGGAAAGGGGACCAAAAGAAAATCTCTCCGTGGGCTTTCCACCCCACTTGCTAAGCTTGGACAGTAATTCACTGCTCTTCTTTTCCTGTAGCCTAAGTTGTCAACAAGGCAGTTTAGGTAGTTTGGCAGTTCAGTTAAGCCTGTGAGAGTCTAGGAATATGTATGGAGCGGCCACAAAAACGGTGCCACTCTCAACAAGAACCTGCCATTGGTCTTGCTAGGGAGAATTTCTTTTCAGGTAACAATAGCTGAGAGTGTGCTGTACGTTTTCAGCAATAGAGGCAGCAGCGAAAAAGAAAAGATCAAGTCACCAAGCCTCAAGGCAATTGTCCAAACTAACCCCAGTTCTTGCCTTTCTGGTTCCAGGTTCCTATGGTGACATTTTTGAAAGCAGCTCCCTGCGACCGAGGCCCTGTTCCCTTTCTCAAGGGAACCTATCCGTGAATTGGCCTCAGTGTCAAGGGAGCCCCACGGGGCTGGACAGTGGGACTCAGGTCATTCGGAGGACTCAGACGGCGACCACCGTGGCACAGTGCAGTGTCCACCTTCCCGTGTCGCGTGTCTGCAGCACTCCCCACATCCAGGGCGGCGGCAGGGGGTCCAGGCAGCCTGCAGCCAGGTCTGAGCCATTTTTGTCCCTAAACAGTACGGAAGACCTGGCCGAGGGTGAGGTGGAAGAGGCCTGGCTGCAAAGCCAGGCCCAGCCTGTGTACCAAAGACCTCAGGAAAGTGGCAGAGATGACAGGCGCCCCCCACCTCCTTACCCAGGGTCAGGGAAGCCCGCCATGGCCTCCTCGGCCCAGCAGCCCCAGGAGCCTCCCCTGTGGAGGCTCCAGAGGCATGAAGAGGGTTCGGGAACAGCTGCAGAAGAAGGAGGCCAGCAAGCCTCAGGAGAACATCCAGCCAGGCCAAAAAAACTGAGCAGTGCCTACTCCCTCTCAGCCTGCGAGCAGGACAGGCAGAACTTGGGGGAGGCCAGCTGGCTCGACTGGCAGCGAGAGCGGTGGCAGATCTGGGAGCTCCTGTCAACTGACAACCCCGACGCCCTCCCGGAAACCCTGGTATGAGCCTGCCCGCCAGCAGCTGGAGCCCACTCTCCCCCCAAAAGAAACATCCTCTTCCGGCCCAGACCCGGAAAACTTGTTGATGGACAATTGGACAATTATTCATTTTTATTTTTCTTTTCGTTTTTCCACACTTTGAAAAATCAACACAAGAGAAAGTCAGTCCACTTACAGAGAGACACTCCTACCCTTGCCATTTATCATAAGATTCTGTTGCGTAGCCAGCCTTAGGGAAAAAAAATCCCAAACATGACAATACCCAATCTCAAAACTACCCACATTGGCTCTCTATAAGATCAAACTCTTGCTTTGGTATAGCTTAATTGTATTTATGTGTCTTCAATTTTGACTATTGTATATTCTGTAACAGATTATGTATGATAATCAATATGATATATTCACAGAGAAGACGGAACAATTTTAAAAAATCACTGCACTTATATTACACCATGAAATATATTAAGCAACAAAATTCTATAGAATATTCTAGAATATGCACAAGCGGGTTTCTGTGCTTTTTGCCATCGCTTTTTCACGGGGACAGCCCTCCCTTCAATGCCTAAGAAAAATACTAACCAAACAAAACAGAATGTGAGAAGCCATATTTTTATACAGTGTTGAGAAGCAGAAGTTATAGTCACTGAATGCTTTTTCATAGTGAACAAGTTTTAAGGAAATATTAAATTTGATATGTTGTGAAATATATTTTTAGAAACTGTTTAGAAAGGACTCAGCAAATCAGAGGAGAAAAAGGCAGTGCCTAACCGTACTTAAGAACATGTCCATCCCATTCTAGGTTAAATTCAGTTTTATATAGGACACTGATATATTTATAATGTGTAACTTTTATGTATTTTTCAAAACTACAAACTGGAATCCAACTATAAAAAGTTTTAAAATCCAAATGAATACACATTCACATTATACAACACCATTTCCCCCTCTGCCCAGTTATCAATATTAGCCCAATTACAAGCAATTCCTTGTAAAGTAAATCCTATCTGGGGGGGGGGGCAAAATCAGCTACATCTTTGCGCTTACATTTGCCAAAGGCTGAGGAAACGTGTCTTCGGTAATTGTATGTGTATTGTAATGTATGTGTTACTATTAACGTACTTCAACAATTTGAAGTGTTACAACTGCAAAACCACTTTTGACCAGCAGGTGGCAGTTTGCTTCAGTATTTTCTGACTTTTCACATCAGAAGGGACAGTGTACTATATACAAAGAGGGTTTTATATATATATATATATATATATATATATATATATATATATATATATATATAAAACGTGCTACTCTTAATTTTCATGTTGGCAATGAAATTTTTCAGTGGTGTTTCCTAAAATTCTATCTTGTGCCATGATGAATAAAAAGTTAAGCAAAGATTCATTACCAGCCTTTAAATCTAATGAAGGAACTCACGCCCCATTCCAGATAGATAATTCACTACTCACAAGTTCAAGTATATTACATGCTGGCAATTCGATAAATACATGCATACAGTTAGAAAGCTAGTTTTCAAAATAGCTGGTAGCTTGGGGACATCAATCAGTGATACGGAAAGATGTAGAAATCTACAATGATGTGTTGTAATTAAAGTCTGGTTTTCTTGTCACTGAGAAAGTGATTTCATACCTGACTGACACTTGGGTTTCATGCCTCTTGGGCAGGTGTAACTCAACACAGCTGTTGAAAGTTGTGTCTGCTCCATAGGTCTCAGATGCCTGATTAGTTCTAGATATGGACTGCAGGGCTTGGGGATGAGATGAATGATCTTTGGGCCCAGTCACTGGGCTCAGCACTTCTGCTGTTGGCTCAGAACACAGAAGATTTGTCTGAAGACCTCAGTTATTCCTTCCAGACCCCATTCAGACCAAATGCTATTTGATTGTAGTACTCGAGTGGCTTTTCTATGTCACTAACCTTTCTCCCGATCCTTTGAATTTGACCATGGCCTCACAAATTCTTTCTCCTTTAATGAACCTCCCTCTCACCATGTTTATACTGTCAAAGTTGTGTTACTTTAATCTTTTAAATCAAATGAATCAAATGAGACATTGAAGGTATATCCATCAGTTACTAGATCTAAATTTGACAGTGTAGAAGACAGGTCGACATTCATCCCCCTATTTCTTTGCCCACTTATGTATGTTCTGTGCCCACATCGTTCACTTCTTTGATGAGAGTTTGTTTCTCAGATGCCTTTATCTCATTGCAAATATGCCACTTTGAAAAGACACATGAGGCCTCCCAAGATGGCTCAGTAAGTAAAGTGCCAGAACCCCCATCAAAGCTGGACACAGTAGCACAGGTGTCTCTAATCCAGTGTTCCTACAGGGCATGAGAGGTACAAACAGGAGACTCCCTGAAGGGACATGGGCCAGCTAATGTGGACTATACAGGAGTGAAGGACAAGAGAGACCCTATCTCCAACAAGGTGGGTGACAAGGACTGACACCCCCAGTGGTCCTCTGACCTTGTTATATGCGCTGTGACCTGCACACACACCCCAACACACACACACACGCCATTATACGCATCACAGATACAATCTTTTAAAACACATATGAGACCCCAAAACTGTGTAGAAATTGAGGCCATTTTTCATACTGTATAACATGTGATATGTATGATGCCTGACGAGAAAAACAAATGTCAACTTGGACAAAACACTTTGACTAGGGTGTTCAAGTCACTCATTCCTCATGAGGAAAGGGATTCTATGGGCAAGAAGAAAGCTGCCATGGGCCACAGATGCCTCCATGTCTATGAGTACTCAATCACTTTGTGTTTGTGTCTCTGGCAAAGAGGCCAGAATGGTGATGATAGAAATAGCCAAATACACATTTGTCTTGATCCCTCTAAGTAGCTATTAACATATGTTTGTTGTGGGTTTTGATAGCAAAAACAACCATCTGATGCCAACAGGGGGTGCGCAAAGAGGCAATTTATAACTAAATCCAGCTTGCTTCTTTTCTTATGCACATTTTAATACACATCTGCTTGGCAGAGAAACAGTGCTGGGATTGAATATAAAGAGATACTAGAACAAAGTGGAGGCCTGTGCTGCCTGCTGGTCTGATAAGCAAACAGCAGGAGGTAGATTTTACTGAACTAAGAAGAAAGGATTTGTCTGCAGAAGAGTCACACAGAGATGAAAACAGGATGTCTTGACCAGACAGAATTGTAAAACAGCAGCAAGTGTTCTTCAGGACAAAAAGACAACAACCTGCAAACCAAAGGAAAGTTCTCCTCAAGGATGGCAGCCTAGAGACTCTGAGCTGGCATCCACGATCCCCACCTAACACAGCCCTCAATCTGCCAAGGGGTAGAAGGTTGGTCAACCAATGTTCAGTTAGCTAATCGCCCTTTAGTTTACAGAGACCAACTCCTCCTAGTTTGCTGTAGCTGTTTCGTGTTTAGCAACGGAAGGTCCCAAACCCAAGCACAAGCCCTTGCTCTTTCCTACCCAGATGGAGACAGTTGGGCTGAGGAGATAGGACACTTGACCATGGTACTTCTCAAATACAGTTACCAAATAAGATACAGTGTCTACTCAATTTGAAGGCTTAACAACAGATCACATATTAGTCTCAGTATGTCCCATGTAAAATCTGGGATACGCTTATACTCAAATAACGGTTCATCCCCTGAAGTTTTATATGGGATATACTTATATTAAAAAGAAAGTCTACGTCTATCTGACATATATTTGGAAATCTGGCAACCCTAATCTCTAGCCTTCATATCACATCTGGCTCTCAATGCCCTGCTTGAAATTCTCAATGAATGTCCCACAGCACCTCAACAGTTCTGAAGGGCCAGCTCTATGTCTCTACTGCTACCCTGAACCCCAATTTCACTTTGTATCACCTCACATCTTTGGCTAGGGAGCTTCTTCCTTCTGTGTACCCGAAGCCTCACCTGGTGTATTGGTCATCATTGAGCCAAATTCCCAACAGACACAATTCAAGGGAGAAAAGACTTATTTGAGTTCATGGTTTCAGTGGGAACATGCCATGATGGTGGGAAGGCATGGCGTAGAGAGTAATCTGAAGAGTATGTGGAAGGAACTCCTCACACCTTGGCACCAGTATCAGGAATGCTGGCACCCTACCAGCTTTCTCCTTTTCCTCCTTTTATTCTGCTTGGGTCTCCCAGTTCATTATCTGGTGGTACTCACATTCAGGGTAGGTCTTCACTTTCAATTAATTCTGGTAGTGCCCTCAAAGATATGCCCAGAGGTGTGCCTAACCATCTCCTAGACCAGTGGCTCTCAACCTTCCTAAGGCTTTGACTTTTTAATACAGTTCCTCAAGCTATTGTGACCCCCTCCCCAAGCACAAAACTATTTTCGTTGCTATTTCCTGTCATTTTGCTACTGTTATGAATCGTAATGTAAATCTCCGATATGTAGGATATCTGATATGTGACCCCTGTGAAAGGGTCATGTGCCCTGCCCCCCCCAATGGGTCGCAACCCATAGGTTGAGAGCCACTGTCCTGGGTTATTCTAACTCCAGTTAAACACTCCTGTTTCCCTTCATGTCGTTTACATCTTTCACCTAGACAAGTTGACAGCGAAAGTCTTATTTTCCTTCTCATGCATCCTGTAGATCCATCCTCAATGTCTTATGCTGATTCTTTGTGTTTGTTTATTTTTCGAGACAGAGTTTCTCTGTGTAGCAGCCCTGGCTGTAGACCCTGCTGGCCTTGAACTCACAGAGATACCTGCCTGCCTCTGATCTGCCTGTCTCTGCCTCTAGAGTGCTAGGATTAAAGACATGTGCCACCCTGCCCAGTATCTTACTCTGATTCGTATCCCCTCCCTCTTAGAACTGTACCAGCCTGGCATCTCTCCATACCCTCTCACCTCCTCACTATCACTATCATTTATAGTTCTGACAAAGGCAGTCGCTGCTGGTGAGGACTTGCCTTCTCCTCTGGTTTACAGACAAAAATCTACTCCACAACAACAGCACCCTCTGTAATAAGACTTTTTTTTCCTGCCAGCCAGTTCCCAAATAATGACAAGAAGACTTTTTTATTAATTGTAAAAGCTTAGCCTTAGCTTAGGCTTGTTCCTAACTAGTTTTTACAATTTAAATTAACCCATATATTTTAATCTGCATTCGTTTACATGGCTCAGTTACCTTTACTCTCTGCTCATCCTGCTTCCTCTGCATTTGGCTGGTGATTCCACCTTTCTTCTTCCCCGAGTCCCCTCTGTCCCTCTTCTTACCTAGCTATTGGCCATTCAGCTTTTTGTTACACTAAACACAGCAATACATTTTCACACAATGTACAAATATCTCACAACAACCCTCTACAGTATCTGTCTGCAGATTCTAACCTCTTTGCAATGTAGAAACCCATACTCTAGTTACGTGCAGGAAACTCCCCATTTCTATAGACAGGACACAATGTTACATTTCTGTTCCATAGACCCCAACTGTTCTTCCTCACCTGTCCTATTCAGTTGTACATCATTTTTTGAACAGAATTAGCTTAAAATTTCTCTTTATACAAATACAGCAATAGAAGTTCCTTCTGGCTCTTTGCATAGGATTCAGTCACCTTGATAAGCATCACTGCCCATTAGCATTACTATCTGTGGCTTTATCTGAAGGCTCTTATCTCAGGATGGTGGCTTTGTGGGGTTTGTACCTTTTCGACTGGCAGAGAGCTATGACACCTATTTGGGATATGTCTGATTAACGCATTCTGAACATAGGCATGTTGCTTTTAATCAAGTAACTTGTTATGCGCCATGGGAGACCACAGAAGGCCATCAGCTCCTTGAAAATGCAGACTCAGGTGTAATTTCTATAGAAAAAGGTTTGAGAAGGGATTGGCAAGCATGGAGACACTGTCTTTTAAACATCACTGCCCTACAAAGACTCTTGGCACTCTATCTCTGTGTTGTATGGGACAGTGAAGAAGCAACCCATGACGCCACTCTGTTCCTGATTGAAATGTTAAGGGACGGTGAGATGGCTAAGTGGGTAACTGCATCTGCACAGCTATGGGGAAGCTATCAACACTAAAATGAGACTTTCTGGTGGTATAGTTGTTTGAGGGGGCCACCTATACCCTATAAATAACCCCTCAGCCATGCCCTGTAGGCCCAGTAAACTCTTCGGTTCACCTAATAGTCTAGCCTTCCGTGGAACTGCACTTTGTCACTTGGGACTTCTAAGGAGGGGATAGACATTTGTTTACATCTCCCTAAGAACAGAGTTCCCTGTAACAGACAGAATGACTTGCTGATAAGCAAGCAACATCTTCAGATTTTCTTTTACTTCAAAGTATGATGGCACTGTGATCACTTCAGCGGATCAAATGATTGGTTGATGGCTTCATTTAATGATCTATAGGCAATCTATCTTTACTGGGGCTTATTGGTCACCAATTCCAGTCCCAGGCTCCTGGGTTTGAAAGATATAAAGGAAGTCTAGATATACCTTCAAGGATATCTCAATCAAGACAAAGTCACTCTTGTGAACAATACAGTTCTAAAAGCAGAAGATGTTGGTAAATCACACAAACCCAAAATATAACCCGGTGGTAGGCAAACCATCAATTGTTGAAAAATAAAAACGAATGAATTGGTGAA